TAATATTTAACCACCAGGGTACTAAACCCGTATCTTCCAGGTAAGATCAACTTGGAAGTTGGAAAAACAAATTTATGCCTGTTCAATTAGAAATATATTTTTGTTGCCTAATGAAGGCTAAAGGACTAATGACTCAGAAGGAACTTGAAAAACTAATTCACGTGTTTATCTTTAGTAGAAATCATTACTGCACTGGGTTTTTCACATGGCTGTCTTAAAATCAATCAGACAGTTGCAGATGATCCAGAATGCTGCTGCAAGGGTCCTCACTAAAACGAAGAAAGTGGAACACATCAATACTGTGTTAAAATTATTACTCTGGATTCTTGTCCCTAAGAGTTTAGATTTTGAAATACTTCTGCTGGTCTATATATTAATGAATGGCTTAGCTCCAAAATACATTACAGACCGCCCAGACTTCCCACATCCTCTGGCTTAAATCTACTTTACAATCCCAGCAACATAAGAGGAGAAGCAGCATTAGGTTCTTATGATCCATAAATCTAGAATATACTTTCAGAAAAACTTTAAAAGTGCAGAAACCCTCAGTTGCTTTTAGTTGATATTAAAAACAGATTTGTTTAAAGTGGCTTCTGTCTATGCTTGCTAAATCATTTTTGTAAAATTTTCAGTCCAACCCTTTTTACATTTCTTAAAAATATTTTCTGCTTTTGTTTTTTTTTTAATCAGTGTCTTTTTATTGAGTTTTCTTTTTCCTTTTGTACATACAGTTTGTGAACACAAAGAAGTATTTATCCAACACAGACAAAATAATTCAATATACAAAAAATTAATCCATACAAAGTAATGTTGGAAGCTGGAGAAGTACCTCTCTTCTCCAGCAGAGTCCGCTGTGGATCCTCCTGAGCAGAGCCCTCTGCACAGCTGCTGCTCGTTACCATCATCAGGAGGACCCTCTACTTAAGCTGTCTTCAGACCTTGCCTCAACGCCGCAGTGTTGAGCCAGTTGGTTAGAACCTAAACCTAGAACCTCTGAGAACTTAGTTTGCTCTGAATCCTGACAGGATCCTAATCTTGTCTCTGTCTTTCCAGGAAAACCTGATCTTCCCTTGCGAAGCTCTGGAAGAGCTTAACCTGCCGAGCCTGCCCTCTGAGCCAAACCTGAAGATAACCTCTGGATTCACATGCAGCTCTGGACCAAGAGCTGGAAACCCAAAATCAAGGTCTGCTACCTTCCTAGAAGCAAGACGCTGAAGCAGCTAACGGACTCTGCTAACCAGACTCTCTCCAGTTCCAACAACCTTCCTCTCCAAGTGCTATTCAAGGACCCTCAAGGTACAAACCAGAAACTATCTAAGGACAGTCCTCTAAGAACCCAACTAACTAAACTGTCTTCCTCACAGACTCCGGTGAACCCGTTTTTCCCAGGACCAGAACCTGAACACATTATCTCTGAAATTGTATTCAATAAACTCTGTGAACTTTTCAACTGTTTCCTGCCTCGTGGTGTTCTGCATAATTGGGTCACATTCGTGTACCGATCATGACAGAACACTGCGGCCAAACACAGGACCCAGCAGAGCACCTCCGGAGGAGGCTTGAAGTACTAGAAGCTCAAGTCCATGGTCAAGCCAAAACTCTCCGTGAGTTGAATGCTTTTGTTGAACACCATAACCAGACTTTACAGTCTTTCACCGGCTATTTTGGAAGCGCTAATGCCGTTCCGGCAGCGCAACCACTTCCGGGTCCAATTCCCCCTCAGAGGTCACCAGAAGTGACGTCATCAGAGTTCCGCCTAAGCCTTCCTGAAAAATTCTCGGGTAATATGAAGGAATGCAGAGGATTTTTATTTCAGTGCAGATTATTGTTCCAGAACTCTCCCAACAGTTTTTCGACGGACTTTAAGAAAGTAACCTTTATTCTCTCTCAACTAACAGGAAGAGCTTTGGAGTGGGCCCAGGCCAGATTTCCCTCAGATGAAAGTCTCAACTGCCGATACTCTGATTTCATTTCTGAGTTCTCCCAGGTTTTTAATCAAGAAACTGATCAAACAATTGACTCTCGTGCTCTTTTCAGTATTAAGCAGGGAAATTCATCTGTGGCTGATTTTTCGATCAACTTCCGGGTTAAGGCAGCAGCTTCCGGATGGAATCAAAGTGCTCTGAAGGGAGCTTATTTCATGGCCTTAAATGAGAATATTAAAGACGAACTGGCAACTCTCGACGAGCCAGCCTCCCTTGAGGATCTAATCAAACTGACAATTAGATTGGACAACAGAATTAGAGCCAGAAGCAGCTCCAAGTTAAGAAATTCTGGGTCTCATGCCTCTACATCTGCTTCAAATATTATGACTGTTTCTTCTCCTCCCACAGGGCGACCTAAAGCCCAGTCCCTCCCTCTGCCTGTTCAGGCTTCACATTCTGATGGTATGGAGGTCGAACCTATGCAGGTGGGACACACTCGGCTTACTCCTGAGGAGAGGCAAAGACGTTTTTTGAGCAGACTTTGCATCTATTGTGGTGAAAGTGGACATTTCATTGCTTCCTGCCCGGCTAAATCAAAAGGCAGGGCCCGCCAGAGGATCTGAGGAGTCTGGCGGGCCAAACCAACTCTAAGAAATCTCCTCGATTGATGCTTCCTGCCACTTTGTTTTGTGATAATCAGAACCTCTCCTTTTCTGCCTTTATTGACTCAGGCTGTGAACGGAACCTTATAGACTCTAACCTTGTTCAACAGTTGATGATTGAAACTGTTCCCCTTTCTCAACCTCTCAGTGTCTCTGCCATTGATGGGAAAAATCTCCACCAAGTTACTCATCAAACTCAACCCCTCGAGCTCCTCCTCTCAGGTAACCATCGTGAAACTATCACATTTTTTGTCATTCCCTCCGCATGTTCCCCGTTGGTGCTCGGATTCGAATGGCTGGAGAAACACAATCCACGCATTAATTGGACCGAACGTCACGTGGAAGCATGGTCTACGTCATGCCATGAGACTTGTCTTCGGTCGGCAGCCCCCGTGGTGGGGCCTCCTAGAGGGGGGGAGGAGATGGACTCCCCTGACCTATCTTCAGTCCCCTTTGAGTACCATGACTTGGCCCCGGTCTTCAGTAAGGTCAGTGCTACGTCCCTTCCACCACATAGACCATATGACTGTGCAATTGAGTTGTTACCTGGAGCACCGTTACCCAGCAGCCGTTTATACAACATCTCCAAACCAGAACGAGAGACAATGGAGAAGTATATTAACGAGTCTTTAGCTGCTGGAATTATTCGCCCGTCCTCTTCTCCTTTGGGTGCTGGTTTCTTTTTTGTTGGCAAGAAGGATGGTTCATTAAGACCATGCATTGACTACAGAGGGTTGAACCAAATCACTATAAAGAATAAGTACCCTCTACCTCTCCTAGCCTCAGCTTTTGAACCAGTTCAGGGGGCAACAGTCTTCACCAAACTGGATCTGAGAAACGCATATCATCTCCTCAGAATCAGAGAAGGTGATGAATGGAAGACTGCTTTCAAGACACCATTAGGTCAGTTCGAGTACCTGGTGATGCCTTTTGGTTTAACTAACGCCCCCGCCTGCTTTCAAGCACTAGTGAATGATGTTCTCAGAGATTTTTTAAATGTGTTTGTCTTTGTCTATATAGACGACATACTCATTTATTCACGGAACTTAACTGATCACAAGAAACATGTCCGCCTGGTGTTACAGAGGCTACTGGAGAACAAGTTATTCGTCAAGGCAGAAAAATGTGAATTCCACCAACCATCAGTGACCTTTTTGGGGTTTGTGCTCGAGGGCGGGCAGGTTAAGCCTGCTGAGGACAAGATAAAGGCGGTATTGGACTGGCCGATTCCTGAAACTCGAAAACAGCTTCAAAGGTTTTTGGGGTTCGCCAATTTTTACCGTCGTTTCATTAGAAATTATAGCCAGACGGCTCAACCTCTGACCTCTTTAACTTCGGTTAAGAGGAATTTTCAATGGACTCCCGAAGCTCAGTCTGCTTTTGACAAACTGAAATCTTTGTTTTCCAGAGCACCGGTGTTAATTCAGCCTGACCCAATCTTCCGATGTCTCATTCATTGAGGCCAGACTAAATTACACATTTAATCTCACATTTAGTCTGGTTTATCAGACTAGTAAAGCGACACTCTGGGTCACAAAACCCATTTAGCAACACAGCCGACCCACTGAAGTTACACTGGCATGTTTTTGAGATGGACGACCTCAAAGGAGCATCAATACGCAATGAGTACTGTATATTGAGAAAAACATTTTATATATCTTAAATTAGGCTATACTTGGATTAGTGCTGTAGACAAGACAACACCAACCGAAACCAAGGAGTACAGAGAACTTTAGACGCAGAGACCATTATATGGTCTTGGTCTTTCCTCGATAGTCCATGTCTGGTGTGGTCTTGACTTCAGCACTAGCTTGGGTCAAAACTTACATTGTGTTGTTTTAATAAGTTTGTGGCTCCTTAGTGCTTGAATATATACATTTCTAGATTGGCAGAAAACTTGGACACCACTACTTTATGTTCTTTATAATACTTATATATTAAGAAATCAAAGAGGTGTGCCACTAATAATCTAAAAAAATAATTCCTAATTGATTAATTATTATTATTTTTTTTTAACCAGTCTATATGCCCTGTACTCATAGAGTATAGTGCTTTTTGAAGTCAGGAGACTACACTTGACCAAAGTACTTTATACTACATTCACAAACACACACACTGATGATGGCAGATTCAAACTAGCCACAGCTGCCCTTGGGCTCACTGAAGGAGGTGAGGATGCTGTGCACAGGTCCCATCGGACCCTCTGACCACCTCAAAGGCCTCTTGAAAGCCAGAGCCCGGGCTTGAACAGATAACCCTCCGGTTACAGGGCAAACTCCTGCATCCGACTCTACTGTCATTACTTAGAATCTGATGTTAAAACTTAAAGGGAGAAAAATAAAGAAACCCCTTTACAGCCCATCCTCTGACTCCAAAGTGCTTAAGCCTGAAAGTTATCACCAAAAGACAAAACTTGGACCATGCATGGTTACATTTATTCCTCACATGCAAAAGGTACACTACAGAAATGAGAACCGGCACATACAATATAAGAGAAAAAAACTGTGACATTACAGAGGTGAAAATGGTGAACAAATGCCTCCTAAACACAGCAGATGAAGAAAGTTCAAATGAAGCTCGAGCTGTGATAAGTAATTATGAGGAGTCTTTGGATTTTTGCTGCTCTTGGATGTTCAGATAAATAATTTTTTCTGCACAGCTATGACTGAGAAAAGAACATCAATCTGCAACTGAACAGCCTTGACCGATGATGTTCACTAGAGGACTTCAGATTATATCAGCTGCATTGTTGCAATTGCAATTCTATAAAGCTTTTAAATGACCATTAGAACTCAACAAATGGTACCCAGTTAAATGCATTTTAGCTTTAATTGGATCAAAAATACACTTTAATGGCCACAGAAAAAAGACAAACCCTTTTGAATAATGCAACATGACTCACTGATTATTATCAGAGCTTTGGAGCATAAGCCTTTTCATGTCTATATACAACATCTACATATGTCTAAACATACAGGTTTTTCTTAAAGTGACAAATCCAGACAATTTGTCATGCCATCATTTTAAGTAAGACTTCTTAAATGCAAGTTGTTCTTAGGCAAACTCGTACACTTGCTCTTTTACAAAAATAAGTGCTTATCAGGCTGTTAGGCCCATTACATGCGAAGATATTGCATATATATATTTAGATATATATATATATATAAATACATTACATACCCATACAAGGAGGAATGAAACATTCAATGATTGAACGGGTTGTAACAGTCAAGGTATAGCAATGTATAATGCCTAGAAACTTTGTAAATGTATAAAAGCATCTGAAAGGATTGAAGGACAGATGAAACTGGGAAGAACAATGTTTGTACTATAGGCTTGATTTGTAAATGGTGGCAGGACTAACGTGATGATAACTATCCAAGGAAAGAAAATACACAAATAACTGTTTCATGTGCAAAAGTGCTTGTTCCTAAAAGATAGAAAAAAAAACCTATAACAGTCTAAAAGAAGGCAGAGTGTTGGGCTATTTACATTCTGGCATGCAGTTGTTGTCTCTTTTTTTTTTAAACTGGTAAACCAAATCATACGACGAGACAAAAAGAACCAATTTTTCTGTAACAAACTCTTGAATTTCGAGGGGATTTCTTTTTTTTTCCAATTGCTGGCGAAGCAGCTATAAGGACAGCTTTAACAAACTTAATAACACTTTGGATACAAACATCTTATAAAATCAATATCTTCTATTCAATAATACATTTCCATATTTCAAATATATTATTTCCTGTATAATGCTTCAAATGCAAGAGGATCATTTAGAATATATATGAAGATTAAACGAGCCATCTTAAGTTCATAGATTTTTCTTTGAAGGAGCCTGATAGAAAATCCATCATTTATCTGCTCTACATACACAAATCTTCACCTTCACATCCAAAAGTCCATTGTTCACAAAGGGAAAAACAAACATGTAGCCTCCTGTAATAATCACACAGATCTGCATTCAGTCCTTCCTTTTTCTTAAACTTGAACAATTCAATATGAAGATATTCTGTCAGGCAAATGTTACTGGGTTCTAATGCATGCATCTGTCAGTGATATATACTTTTATTTGCTTCTTTGTTTTTAGGCCGCTGTTCATGACTGGCCAACATTTTTTGCTACCTGAAGTTAATTTTGATGCTGTAACTTCTTGGCATAAAGTAGGGTACTCCATTTTTGTTTGAGCAGTCCTTTTTTCTTTGTTGCTTCTGTGGTTTGGCTTCGACGTAACATTTGCTCCTCCAGGTTGTTATTTTAAAGCTAGAAAAAGAACAAGATAGGGAAAAAAGGGACGAAGACGGTTAGGGTTAATAAAAAACACAAGTCAGCACAAACTATTTAAATGTTTTATGAGTTAGTGTGTTTATTATATATCACAACAAAATAATATTCCAAATTAGAGAGGTACGGTTCTACCACATGGTCTTATAATCTCTTAAAGTAATCTCGATATGTTTCATTCAGGCTCTCTGAGGATAATTTAATGTTACAATGTGTTGTGACATGTTAAATACATGGGAATATTTTTCACAGGTTTGATTTCATCATGAACTAATATGTGTAACCTGGAAATTGTATTGTGAGGTGACATGTAAAGACATACATTCCTTATGTGGAAATTAAATCATGTAGTAACGTGTTACAGATCATTTTGTAGAAACAACTGGGGAGCATCTTAACCTGCAGAAGAACCATCAGCAGTGGCGTCCCCCAGGGGTGTGTTCTCTCCCCACTCCATTTCTCTCTTTACACCAATGCACCATTATGGACAGAGCTGTAAAACTCCTGAAGCATCTTTTTTGGGTCTGATCCAGGATGGTGAGAAGCTCACATGTAGACACAAAGTGGATCAGCCGGTCCACTGGTGTTATCAGAACCATCTAGGGCTTAATCTGCTCATGACACTTTGAAATGATGGTGGACTCCTACAGAGCAAGCCTCAACTTTCTTCCACTCACCATCCTCAATAACACCGTGACTGTTTTAGGTCACTTCTTGTTCCTAGGACTCACCCTTTCTGTTATAATTAAGACTTTTTCTTAATTTCAGCACAACAGAGTGCTATTTGGTAAAATCAGCCCCTCAAATTACATTTTCCCAGGGTGCCGCTCTAATAAAAACTTAACAGTAGGAATATCCAGATCGACACCATGCATACTCAAATTTTTTAACCTTATCCATCTCTTTGGACAAAGAAAACTAATTACTATTAGATGAAATTGTACTGTAGTGTTTTAAATTTTGGCCAATCTGGTTAGGTTGAGTACCTGTGAAGTGAACTGAGGTATAGACGACAATGATGAGAACTCCCAGGAAAATGGAGACGATGCTCAGCAGACGAGCCAGTCGACCCAGCCTCCTGGCTCCATCTATATCCCCATTCTGGAGACTGTTTCTAGACTGGAACACACAAAGAAAAATTTAGAGATCAGGTGTTAATAACCAAAGGATAATGTTCAGTATTACTTTTTACACCAGATATTGCCAGTGCAAATGAGCTTTGAATCATCTCTGCACCTCTTTTTGCTCCTTTGAACAATCCTCTCCTTACCCTATTTGCCAGTTTAGTTGAAGTACGATCTCCTGGTACATAAGGCTTGGCACTGACCGTTCAACATTTGCATGCCTGCTTCTTTTGACCTGCTAAATTGTTTTAAGTTTATAGTTTCTTATGCGTAATCCAGGGAATGTTATATTTTACCTGCAGCTCCTTGACTGTTTCACATTACCGGTATTAATGAATTAGATCTCAATTATTTATGAACAAGCAGAAATGGCAGAAAAACAACAGGAGTGCTGAGCTGTTTATTTCTTCTGTCCTTTGAGTTAAAAAAAAAATGGCAATAAAAATGTATTCCCAGCTGCCATTGGCGAATTTTCTATTTCAAATGGGCAATTCCGGACTGATGGAGGATGGTGCATTGCAGAGCCATCTGAGAGCACATCAGTGAGGAAGAGCTGTATTTCATTTTTATGCAGTATGTATATCGCTTTATTTACCCCAAGTATCGGAAGACAGGGTGATTTATGTGTGTGCATGTGAGACATGATGAATGGGAAGCCTCAAGTCCTTGCAGTGTGGTTTCATTTGGGAGTCCTAAAACAGAAAAGCTTGCACAAGCAATTTCCCTGCCTTTCACTCCTTCTCATTTCATCTTCTACTAGTTTAATGTGCTTTACACTCACCTCAAGCAGGGATAACAGCTGGCTTATGTGAAGTCCTCTCTTAGCCATCTTTAGGAACTCCTCATTGAGGCTTAAATGCATTAAATCAGGAAGTAGGGCTCACCCTGACCTTCATCTTTATCAATTTCAAATGCAGTCTTGTAAGTCAATTTCCTCATTTAGATTAAGTGCCATTAAAACAATGGTTGAACAGAAATACATGTTTCATGGTTTCACTTTTATCATTTTATAAGAAGAAACATGTACTGTATTTGTTTTGTTCAGCATCAGTCATGATGTCTCTGTGCTGCAACCTATCCAGGTTGTACCCTTCCTCTGCCCATAGGCTGCTGGAGATAAGCACCAGCCCCATCGTGACCCTAACAGAATATGAAGGATGAATGGATGGATGCAAGACACTCAGTAATGTTAGATTTGTCTTTTCTCAGGGAAATGACACATAGGCCTGCAGAACTGAGATTGCCTCTGTGTTAGGATAGGTTTACACTGCAGAGGGACAGAGAGATAAAAGACCCCAATGATGTAGCCCCTGCAGGCCTTCTATAACTCCTGGATGAATGTGGGGCTTTTGACGAATTTGCTGGCAACCTAACATAAATCAAGGACAATGAAAGTGCTGACCAGAACATGCCTTCAACTATTGTCTCTAAAGTTTAAAGATTCTTTTTTTCCAACATGGTTTTAAATTATCCTGCCTACATAAATATACACAATCTATAACCAGCACGTTGTGTAAACACCTTTTAACTCAATTCCAGGTTTGCCTTATTAAGTTTCCGCCTTTATTAATAGTGAATTCGATGATCCTGCTGGAACTTTCTAAAATATGCTGATTAGTATTCTTTATATGAAGCGTGTGGTTTGCAGTTTTTATTGCGAAAAATTTAAACAATTTCCTGTATAGAGGAATAACTCAGGAGAAGCGTATAAAAAAATGACAGCATCATATGCACACCATGTCACAGTGATTTAACTGGTATTAACTGGGATTAACTGGTATGTTTTGGGTTTGTGCAAGTTCTTTGTTCTGATTTATTTTTATTTTTTACAAATGGGTACATGTTTCCCTCATGCACCTTCTGAAAATTAACAAGGTTCTTGGTAGTCTCATGATAGTGAGATGGCCATGTCCTCTTGCAGTAAAGCATCGCCAGATAATTGAAAAAAATTTTCAAGTTGGTAAAAGTTATTTTGTAGTCAAAAATTTTCAGCTTATTATGCCAAACTATCCTCTTTTGTGGTGTCCCAAATGTAAAATGTTAGTTGTATCTATTCAAAGAAAGTTATTCTTTTGTTTTCTCTCTGGATAATTTTAGCTTTAAAGCTACAGTGTGTAATTTTCAGCGACATCTAGCGGTCAGACTGCAGACCGCAGCAACATGAACATCTCCCCCCCACCGCTTCTCCCCCCCAACAGTACGGCGAGCGTTACGGGACAAAATGTCTTCCACGACGTCCACATCACCTACCTTCTCAAGTGATGAGGTTTGTTTACATAGATAATTTTACAGATAGTATTTCATTAGTCTGTGTAGGGTATAGATTTCATGTAGACTTAAGATAATAAATATACCCGTTATTTTTTCTACATCGTTGTGACGTTTTGGTGAGCTGCTTTGCATGGTGATATAAACAGACGAAGTAACTGTAGTCATTAGTTTAACAGCGAGATTGTGTTCGCTGGAAGAATATATATTCCCCGTTTACAGAGTCCAAGTCATTTTGGTGGCACGGGGGTTACAACGCGAGGGAGAGGGAGAGGACGAGGGCGAGGGCAGGGGGGCCGTGCAGCTAGGGCCAGGCGAGGGAGGGGTGCCAGCGGGGTGAGAGCAGAGGAGGAAAGGCTTGAAGATCTCCAAAGGAGCCGGAGAGAAGTAACCGAGGTATATATCCAGAAAATTATTTTACAGAAAATTACTGAATCATTACCTGTAAAACGTCAGGGACGTTGCTGAATAAGTATACTGGAGAGTAACAGCATCATCACGCAGCATGTTATTGTTTTAGACAGGTCTGAGCATCCTGTACCCCAAAAAACTAAAGTGATGTTAGACAATTGTGTGTGTAGGATTAATTACCTGTCCAAGAGAAAACTGGCAACTTGAGCGTCACTTTGAAAACCTTTTTCCTCCATCAGTGACTTCCATCGTGTAAATGCCGTGCCAATGTTGATCCGTGTTTTTTGTCGTTTCTTGTCACGCTTGCGTTTATTCTCGTCGTGTTTCCGCTTCTTAGATGATGGGGGTTCGGTGTCCGCCGCTTTTCGTTGTGATACAGAGTAGGCATGATCCTCCATTCGTCTGATGTTTGGCCACACAGTGACAAACAGTTTGCAAAGTCACTCACGCCTGCCGCCTTGTTCACCTTTCTTGTTACTGAGGCGCAGTATACCTGCTTCTTCTTCTTCTTTGGTTTCAGGCAGACTAAACGCTTCTCAAGCATAATACTGCCATCTACTGTTCAGTACCGTCTCAGTTCATCTCTCTCAACTTGCCGTAGTTATTTTCGAGCGTCATGGGAGATCTCGCAATCGCTAGTTTGTTGCCTCTGCGCTTGCCGTAGCGCAAAGATGTCAGCCTCCATGGCTGCGAGACCCGCTCCTATGTAATTATAAATAACGAATTCTAAGGCAACGCAAATATTATGTTTAAAAGGCTGAGCTCATAGGTGATGATAAATAACATAGTTATGTACGTATAATATATTAAATTTCTGACTTTATATGCCTGTAATTATTACACACTGTAGCTTTAATTGTCACGTTTTTATAACATGAAGTAATAAATGAATCAAACTAATCTATCATGTTTTCAATTCTTTTTTACATTATTACAGTTTGGCATTTTTAAAAGGACTGTGTACACTTACTTTGCAGAGACATGGCACATGCACACTCTGGTCTCTCACCTTCATGTCTGTGATGTTGAGCTATGGTAAAAAAATAAATAAAAAACACTCCCTCTAGAGCCTGTATCGATCCGGACACAGATCACAAAGGAGAGCAACATCAGCACCTTAAATCAATGCAAGGCCCTTTCAGAAAATGCTGTCTATTTGTCCTGCTTAGAGAGAAAACATCAATGAAATAAGGAAGATTTATGGGACAGTACAAATTTCCTTTGCATAAGGAAAAAAAAAACAAATGAGAAAATGCTTCAGTGAAGCTATTTTTGTTTAATCTTTGATTTAACTCATCGGGGTTACAACAGATTATATGATGTGTGTGGACTAACTGAATAATATCTTTATTGATTGGAACAAATGCACATCTTTTCATAAAGTGAAATCCTACCCTAAAAAGCCTTGATTTTACTCTGTGTCCTCACTAAGCACCCACACTCTGTTTATGCTCTCTCATGCATTCAGGCGAAGGAAGGTGGAGGCTGGTAAGGCAGTAAGTGCTCTGTTTTTTTATGTCTCTTGACATGAATAATGAAGGACTACCAGCAGCCGGGTGAAAAGGAGTACTGTACAAAAGAAGCCATTTTTCATGATATGACCATGTTTCTGGAATTATTTTAAATATTTTAACAAATGGAAAAAAAACATTTCAGGACTTAAATTTACTTATATGGAATATCATGCATATCTAAATAATATTTCAAAGGTTTAAAGAGATGGGATTTATGGGTAGGGCTTAGAGAGTAATCCATTCAGTAGATGGGCGAAGAAATGTTTTTTTTTTTTTTTTTTTATTAAGCACTTTTTTCTGGCTGTTTGAGGATTCAGAGTCTCTGAGCTGCCAACTTTTTTTTTGGGTTCTGCCTTTTTAAACCAGACTCAGCATTAAAGTTTTAAACTTCTTAACACGGTCAGATGATCAAATGTGTCAGAACCATGAAGCTACTCTTAAAGCTGCAGCTGTAAGATGCCTTGCAGCTGCTGGAAAAGCTTTATATGTTTACTTAGAAGAACAGATTTTTTTTTTTTTCTCACAATGAAGCTCTGGTAAAAGGTTTTCATTGGTGAAGATCCAGTAGATCTTTACACAATTATTTTGTTATATATTCAGACATACTGGCTTTAAACTGTTCAAACCTGTAGAGAAGTTAATTTTCAATCTATGAAAAAAAAATTCTACATCACCCAGACTTCAAATCTGTCTTTTTGTCTCTTTTTTTAAGATTGACGTGTCCTAAAAGTTTTATACCCTTCTTAATATCAATCTACATTGGAATTACAGAGCAAACCTTTCTATTTTTACAATTATTTTC